CCCCAGCCTCCCGGGGGCGGCGGCGGGGCGGCCGGCTGGCCCGCGTCGGGAGGCCGGGACGCCGCGGCGGGCCAAGGGGGTGGCGGCCGCTGGACGGGCTTCGGGTTGAATGAGCATCCGCAGTCCCGGCCGGCCGAACGGGGTCCCCTCCCTCCCCAGGGGGCGTGGAGCGGTCGGCCCTTCCAGGGCTGACCTCGCTGCCCTCCGCCGCCTGAGCGTGGCGGGCCGGCCAAGCCTCGCCTCCCCGCCAGCCTCCCGGGGATCCGGAGCTCGCGGGGAGCGGCATCGCGCCGCCCGCCTCTCCCTCGGGCCTCGAGTCCCCGGCTCATCTCTTTTTCTGTGTCGTGTGCCTGCGAAATCCCTGTCAGTGAAGGGCGGTCAATGCCGTTTGGCCCTAAGTCGTCCTGCCTCGGCTGACTGATGGTATTTAACAGAAAGCGGCTCTCCTTTCGGTGGTAGCGCGTCCCCGGTGTCTGCCGCCTCTCCTTCCCTTCTTTACGCACAGACGCGGTTTTATGGTGTGGACCCGAGGCACAATTGCGGTCTCTTCTTGCTTGAACGAGGAAATGTAATCAGAATTCCCAGGAAAAGGAAAGCAGCGAGGAATGGCTTGCACCTTCCTTTACTTCTGTTTGCCTTTGGATTAGAAAACAACTTCGCAGATAACATTTCCTATGGGCATCTTTTGTTGTGATTCATACCAAAGAAGGCTTTGCTTTTGAAGAAATACATTAGCGTCTTTTTCTGTTGGGTGGGAGGCTACGGAGATTTTTGATAGCCTCTTAATATGAAAGTTTCCTTTAGAACTTTGTCATCATCCATGATATTCTGAAGGCAGCACCAGCCTGGAATTTTAAATATATGCGCACTCCGGCAGATGCGTTTCTTTGTGCTTATCTCCTGGCATCCTACTCTTGTTGTGTCCGTGGTCAAACGTGCAAGTAATAAAAGCAAGTACAATAAAAAGAATAGATAATAAAAACACTGTACGAACAAATGCGTCTGGAAAATCTCAATTCCGTTAACGGAGAGGCAGTGTTACTAATCCTTTTGAATGGATGAAGAACGGGCTCAGAGATCTCATGGATTATGTAGTGGACAGGATCTGAGGTTAGGAACTGGGGCCAGGACCCAGCAGGCCAGCTGGTTTGTGAAGTGCTACTCTTAACCTCTAAAATGGGAGGAATGTATTTGTCCTGGATACCTTTATTTTTAGATTACTTAAGGTGCAGAGGCGTAATCACCCCCCCAACCCCTTTAAGGTTAGGATTTCTACCTGTCTATCTCGGAGACCAAAATGCTGTTTTTGTTTAAACATTTGTTTTTTCTAGTTTACCTGAAATATTTATGTTGCACTGATAGGTGTTTGCTTATAACCAAAAATGTACGTATTTGTAACGTTGAAGAGAATTCTTTCTGTAGGAGGTTGGTAAAGAACCCAGGAATTTTCAAGTAATCTAAATTGGAAATGAGGCACACTAATCTAGTGATTGCATTAAAACTATTTAAAACTACTTTAAGTAGCTCCAGTAAGGAGCATTTCTGATAGAACTTTTTTAGAAAGGTATTTCTTTATCTAAGAATGTATCTGCTGAAATTGCTGAGACACGGGGCACAGTCACCAAACTCTATTATTATTATTCTGCCTGAGTAAGAGAGGAAATGAACAAATTTTTGATGTACTTTGGAACCCTGTGGATTGTTCAGATACTAAGCATTGTGAAATAGGGCATAAAATGAGTGGTGGCAAGTTAGTTTCCTGAAATGTTTGTCCCTCTTAGCATTTTTTTCTTTTTGCACTTGACTAGAAATTTCTTTTTTCCTAATTCTTGATTCTATTGGTAGAATTCAAGTTCTTCTTTTCACCACATGCCTAGATTGAGGCAAATTCAAATCTGCCATCAGACGTTGAGGAGATGTTGGTAAATTCCTCCATTCTTCTCATCTTTTTAATTTGCTAAATTTGTGAATTATACAGAATTAGTTACACGAGGGTTGGGTTTATGTTAGTTCAAATCCCACTGCCATTACAGCTATTCTCTTCTGAATGGCTCCACTTACTACTAGTGGGTTTCTCAGAGTCCGGATCTCAGATCGCATAGATCAGCATTAAGTGAGGTTCTTGTTAAAAATGCAGGTTTTTCTGTTATCTCACCTCAGAATCAGACTCCTGGAGTGAAGCCCTGGAATCAGTTTTTTGAACAAGTTCTCCAGGAATTTCTCCCGCAATAGTAAAGTTGGAGAACAGCTGGCATTATGTTTCCATCTTGATGAGCACCTCCTAAGGCCATGTCCTGAAGTGGATAGCAAATTTTTTTAAGTAACAGCATAAGGTTGTTGTTTTTTTTTTTTTTTTTTTAATGTTTATTTAGTTTGAGAGAGAGAACGCGTGAAAGGGAGCATGTGGAGGAGGGACAGAGAGAAGGAGAAAGAGAATCCCAAACAAGCTCCGTGCTGTCAGTGCAGTGCTGCATTCGGGGGCTTGAGATAATGACTCGAGCTGAAATCAAGAGTCTGACTTAACCTGCTGAGCCACCCAGCAACCCCTAAAAGAGGAAGTTTTATATCTTTGGCTGCAAATAAAAAACGGACTACGACCTTCAGATACGTAATGCACCTGTGTATAATATACCTTTCAGAAGAGCAGAGGCTTGGTCATCATTGTTATCTCCATTAGAATAGTGCCTGGAAGGGGCACCTGTGTCAGTTAAACGTTGGACTTTGACTCAGGTCATGGACTCACGGTTCATGAGTTCGAGGGCTCTGTGCTTACAGTTCGGAGCTTAGAGCCTGTTTCAGATTCTGTGTCTCCCTCTCTCTCTCCGTCCCTCCCCCACTAGTGCGTGCGCTCTCTTTCCCTAGGAAACAAATAAACATTAAAAAATAAAATCTTTCTTTGTAAAATTGGTCTTATTACTTAGTGGTCAGTGGTCACTGACCATTTTATAAATTAGGAGCCTCATTTACTATGCCCAGTCATTTCTGTAAGTTTGGTTGGCACTGGAAGTAGAGAACCTTTCCCAAGCAGGGAACGCTTCAGGTGGTTAAGCTGGAAAGAAGGCTCCTATCAAAATATCTGCTTAGAGACTCAAAATGTAAATTTAAGTCACAGTGTGGTGGTAAATTACTATGTTATCAGTATCTCACAATACCATTTGACACGCTATCAGCCCAACATAATGCTGTGAAAACTGGTTTACAAAAAATACAGAAAATTGGTATGTTTTCCAATTTCATTTTCATCCTAATAAGATATGACCTTCACTCCTTTCTTTCAGAATCCATTGTAGGACCCCATAAATAACAGCTTCTATAATGTAGTTGAGGGTGCTGAATAGGAGTAAAATTTCTTTTTAAATTCTTTTTAATTAAAAAAAATTTTTTTTAATGTTTATATATTTTTGAGACAGAGACAGAGCATGAACGGGGGAGGGTCAGAGAGAGGGAGACACAGAATCTGAAGCCGGCTCTAGGCTCTGAGCTGTCCACACACAGCCCGATGCAGGGCTTGAACTCACAAACCGCGAGATCATGACCTGAGCCGAAGTCGGACACTTAACCGACTGAGCCACCCAGTCGGTTAAAAAGAATTAAAATTCTTTTTAATTTTTTTAATGTTTATTTTTGAGAGAGAAAGAGGCAGGGCGAGTGGGGGAGGGGCAGAGAGAGAGGGAGGCGCAGAATCCAAAGCAGGCTCCAGGCTCCAGGCTCCAGGCTGTCAGCACAGAGTCCTATGCAGGGCTCGAACCTATGAATAGCCAAAGTCAGACTCTCAACCGACTAAGCCACGTACGTGCCCCTAGGAGTAAAATTTCTATAGAAAATTGGGTTTGACTGTATGTAGTCTACGACTTTATTCTAATCCCTTAACTTTTCAATGCTACAGTGTTTTCAGTTGAATGGAAATAATAATAGTAGGTTGACTTTAAATACTTCAGAGTGCTTTCATAAGTTCTTGAGATACGTTCACTTAATAAATAGTAATTAGGATAATGAGAAGAATTGGAATATATAAAATTATATAAAACTCAAAAGCTAATCCATTTAATTTTTGTGCTACTGCACTTGATGGTAGTAAGTAGAAATCCATTGCTTGAAAAAGAAGTCTCTTGCTAATTTCTTGGTACTAAATATGTATAATTTTTAAGTTGGAAAAATAACCATTAAAAGTGTTTAATAGGGGCGCCTGGGTGATTCAGTTGGTTAAGCATCCGGCTTCGGCTCAGTTCATGATCTCACAGCTTGTGAGTTTGAGCCCTGCGTCAGGCTCTGTGCTGACAGCTCAGAGCCTGGAGCCTGCTTCAGATTCTGTGTCTCCCTCTCTTTCTGCCTCTTCCCCGCTCACACTCTGTCTCTGTCTCTTTCAAAAAATAAATAAACATTATAATTTTTAAAAAAGTGTCTAATAAGCCATCACATATTATGTAAATATATATATATATTTGTTCTAAATAAAGATAAACCTTGTCATCACTTTTAGCTTAATTGTACATTTCAGAACCAAACTGCTAATCCATTAATAGCCCTTGTATTTTAAAGAATCGCATCGGGGTACCTGGATGGCTCAGTCAGTTAAGCATCCAACTGTGGCTCAGGTCATGATCTCTCATGACCTGAGTTCGAGTCCCTCCTCTGGCTGTGTGCTGAGAGCTCAGAGCCTGAAGCCTGCTTCAGATTCTATGTCTCCCTGTCTCTCTGTTCCTCCCCTGCTTGCTCTGTCTCTCTCTCAAAAATAAATAAAGATTAAAAAAAAAATCGCATCTTTATGGTAGAAAAAATTGAAATACAGAGAAGTGAAAAGAAAACTATAAAATACTCATAAGTCCACTAACTCAGTAAGTATCCCTCCAAACCCTCTCTTTGTGTGCATGTGGCTTTTTATATACAGTTTTTGGTAACAAATATAGGATCTTGCTAAACATATGATTATTTTGTAACTTGGTTTTTTTAGTTTGTTTTTTTGTTTTGATTTTTGCTTAACATAACACCTTACCATGAATCTTTCTGTGTCAATATTGACAGTTATAACAGTTTAATAACTGAATAAGATCCCATTTTATATGTGATAATTTAACCAGTTAATTTTTATTAGACATCAGTTTGTTTCCTCCCCCCCCCCCGGTTATCAATAACTCTATAGTTATTGTACTCCTACATACATCCCTGTATACTCTTGAGACATTTTTTTCCCTTTGGATAAGTTTCTAGAAGCGAAGTTGCAGTATCAAAGTATAGTACATGCTGGTTTGTAGGGTTTTATTGATACATATTGCCATTTAGGAAAGTTGTAGCAATTTACATTCTTTTTTTTTTTTTTTAATATTTATGTATTTTGAGAAAGAGCTGAAGCAGGGGTAGGGGCAGACAGAGAGAAAGAGAAAGAGAATCCCAAGTGGGCTCTACACTGTCAGCACATAGCTGGACGTGGGGCTCAGTCTCACAAACTGTGAGATCATGACCTGAGCCAAAATCAAGAGTCTGACGTTTAAACGACTGAGCCACCCAGGTACCCCAGCAGTTTACATTCTTGTAGTGGGGGATGAGAGTCCTGTGTTCTCTCCTACTTCCTTTTTTGTAGAGTGACTTAGCCAATAACAAACGTAGTGAATTATTATTATTTTTAGGAAGAAGAATGGCATGTTAATGTAACCTGTTCAGGAGTGGGATCTGGAAAGTCTGAAAATTCATACACCCATGATAGTGATAGTTAACATTTAGCAAGTCCTTTTGCATCATTTTGTAAACACTCACTCAATCTTTACAAAACTGCCCTTTTTTAGATGAATACGCCTTGGAAACTAAGGTACCAGTAGTTAAGGAACTTAAAGAGCCAGTAAGTGGCTGCCCAGATGTGTTGATGCCAGAGCCCAAACTCCCAGCCACAGTGCTGGATTGCCTGTTCCCTGGACGTGATTTCTAGGCCTTGGGGTATTTTTTACATTCCTGATTTCTATTCTGGAATAACCTAGAGATTCCCTGATATGTATTAGTTTATGGATCAGGCGGGGTACAAATTGGAATCCCTCTCAAGATTGAGAAGTCAGTAGTATAAATTAGCTCACCAACAAGCCTCGTCTACTGTCTAACATTCACCTCTCAGCAGCTTGTTAGTCTTTCCTCTGTAGTGGTTTTCCTAAAGTGCCCCTGCGTGGAAAGCTGGAGTAGAATCACAGAGGAGACTAGTGAAATTTGAAAAAGCAGTTCACTTGTAATGTGGCCTTGCCTTGGAAACATGATTGCATCCAGGTGTACGATCAGGGAGACAGCAGAGTATCTGTCCAAACATTTCGATGTTGGCCAGTTTGGAGATTTGAAGCAGCCTGTTGGAAGTTCACTTCAGGAATGTGAAGGCCTCACTGTGGAGGGATGTCACGCACGGATCCATTGGGAGATCGTTAAAAAAAAAACAACAAAAAAAACCCTCATAAACATGATGGTAGAATCTCATTAACATTTTGTTGCTAAGGTTTGTAGCCTTCTAACAAGGTGAATTTGAAACAGGTTAAACTACTTAAATTCATCAGTGCTCTTTTGACCTTTTCCTAGTAGAATTAATAATTGGCAGCTTATCTTACTAGCTTATTGGCCCAGAGAGAGCATTGGTGAAATCGCTCTGGCTTTAGGTCTCTTGGCCTGAGTTTGCCTGTGCTGAGGTAGGACTGCCACGGGCTCAGTGTTAAGTTGGTCACTGACACCCATTCTCACTATTGTGTAGTGTGGGGTTCCACCAAGGTTGTGCGGGAACGGTGCTCAGGTACATTTAACTCTACGAGGAGTGTGTACTGAGGGATGTGATGGAGTTTGGGATTCAGCTGAATAGGACTGTGAAAGTAACAAGGTCATAGCAGTTGGTCAGTTTTGTTTTGTTTTTTTTTTTAATCCTTGGTGGTTAAAATTAAACGCCCTCTCCTTCATACCGGAGGGCAGTGCTTTTGATCCTCCTGCTTTAATGCGTGTTTTGCCTTGTTTCTCTGTCTGTGATGGTTTTGGTCATCCTTGGTCTGCAAGTGTCCTGGTGAGCAGTGGCATGGATTTGCAAGACATAGATACAGCTCATGGAAGTGAATGCAGCCACCTGGCTTTTAGTGCCATGCTCCGACCAACCTACTTCAGGAGGACCCTGGCTCTTGTGATAAAAGCATAGGAAACAAGATGCCAGTGGATCCCCTTGTTTTTTCTGTCTGTGTGTGTGTGTGTGGAGGGCTCATTACTTTTCTCCCAGGCAAATTTCCTGAGCAGTTACGTTGTTCTGACAAGGGCCCTGTTTTGTATCAAAGCCATTGTATAAACACACAACACCTTCCTGAACACCGTTCCTGTGCGTTATCTATGATAAAAGTCTGTTCGTTGTGGATTCGGTGTTTTATAAAAATCAATTTCTGCTGCAAACTTAAGATAATAGATTTTGAAAACAAGTAATCTTTCAGTTTCTGGAATTGTTTAGACCCCACTGCTGTATTCGGGCACAATTGAGATATTACCTTTTGGTCACTGACATATAAAAGCCGTAGAGCTAGTATGAGACAGACTTTCAAAAATTGACAAATCAGTGCCATTCCTGGTATATCAAGTTTCTGTGAGTAAAGATCCCCCTCTTTTTTTTTCTCCTGTCTCCTTTGCTTATGATAGTTACTATTAAAGTCAGAAAATGATAATAAACTTATAATAGGCAGCATTTTCACATACCTTCAAATATAGTCATTATAATTGTCTTAAAATTCTTTAAATGATTACAGAAATTGAGGAGGAACAGAACGTGTTAGAGAGGTTACTAGGATGTAAGCTTCAGGAAGGCAGGGAATTTTGTCTGTGTTGTTCTCTGCTTTATCCCCAGGACCTAGAACAGTGCATGAGCACTCAGCAGTTGGTTGTCAGCATGCTGAATAGATTAGTGTTTGAGGACCTGATTGTCTGGAGGCCAGAGTCACCCAAGTGCGGTGAGCACAGGAGAGACAGGTGAGGAAGAAAGGGGACGGCTGGTTTGGATTTTATTCAATCAGTGGAAGTAGGAAACTAATGTAAGTTTTAAGCAGGGGAGTCCCATGCTTTGCTTTTGTTTAAAAGGATCACTCTGGGGGCACTTGGATGGCTCAGTCGGTTGGGCATACGACCTCGGCTCAGGTCATGATCTCACAGTTCGTGGGTTCGAGCCCCGCGTTGGGCTGTGTGCTGACAGCTCAGAGCCTGGAGCCTGCTTCGGATTCTGTCTGTCTGTCTGTCTGTCTGTCTCTCTCTCTCTCTCTCTCTCTCTGCCCCTCCCCCACTCATGCTCTGTCTCTCTCTGTCTCTTGGAAATAAATAAATGTTAAAAAAAAAATTAAAAGGATCACTCTGGATGTCATGTGGGGAATGCCTTGCAGGAGAGCAAGAGAAACGTTGAATTGACTCTACCTTCCATCATCTGTGAATGTTGACATTCTACCTAGCCTTGTGGTTTTTCTTTAGGGTGAAGATACTCTGGATAGGGTGAGAAGCATGGTGATTTGCATAAACTTCTTAGCGTTCTCGGTAAACTGCTGCCATCATTGATCAAATCAAATAAAACAATGTAAAGTAAAGATCAGGAATAATTTAACTTTTTAAGCATTAAGTTAATTGGTATTATAAATACAGATTTCTTTTTTTAACGTTTATTTCTGAGAGAGAGAGAGCGCGCGCACACACACACACACACACACACACAAGAGCGCAAGCGCATGCGCAAGCAGGGGAGGGGCAGAGAGAGAGAGGGAGACACAGAATCTGAAGCAGGCCCGAAGCTCAGAGCTATCAGCACAGAGCCTGATGCAGGGCTCAAACTCATGAACTGCATGACCATGACCTGAGCTGAAGTCAGACACTCAACCAACTGAGCCACCCAGGCACCCCTAAATACAGATTTCTGGTAGAGATTTTCTGTTTACATTTTTTGGTGAAAGAAACTTCAAATATAGGGAACTGAATCCTTAAAATAGGTGTTTTACGGCTTGAGTGTCTATAGCTCTTCGCTTTGAGGAAGGTCTCATTTGTAAACCGCTGCTATTGTCTGTCCAAGCTGGTGTTTTAATTAGTATCAAAGGGAGGGAAATACTGCAGTAATTGTAACCTTACATTACTTCCTTAGTTCAATTAGTTTTAAACCACAGTCATTATCTGTTATCTTTAGTTGTTTTGGTCTCATTAGACGAAGTAATATTGCAGTTGTGATTCGGTATTTTAAAAAATAACTTTTTTTTTTCTTCACTCCAAAAGCAGTACATGTGTATTGAAGAAAACTTTTGAAAAGAAAAAGAAAAACAAAAGTGGGCCTTTTCTCACTATCCAGCGATGACTATTCATACGCTGTGAGGGGTCAACCTGCTCAAATTTCTCAGGAAGTTCGGTGTGTGAGCTTCTCAGTCTGGGAGGCATGACAGCGTGTTAGGGATCAGGGCACTGAAGAGGGTCCAGGGATGGGGCAACCCAGGGTCTGTCAGACTCCTCATTCGTGGCCCTGGGAGGATGCATGTTGCTGTTACTATACCTTCTAGTTCTTCAAGAGAGGCTGGAAATCCAGAAGTACGGCTTTAATATGAAATCTCCCAATTTTTTTTTTTTCAACGTTTATTTATTTTTGGGACAGAGAGAGACAGAGCATGAACGGGGGAGGAGCAGAGAGAGAGGGAGACACAGAATCGGAAACAGGCTCCAGGCTCTGAGCCATCAGCCCAGAGCCTGACGCGGGGCTCGAACTCCCGGACCGCAAGATCGTGACCTGGCTGAAGTCGGACCGCTCAACCGACTGCGCCACCCAGGCGCCCCTGAAATCTCCCAATTTTTATGTGGGCCACAATTTTTATAAACACACTGGGGTTCAAGCAAAGCAGACCTACTAAGGGCTGACTTCAGTCATTGTCGCCTTACAAGTTTATAATCTCCGTACATACAGTTGTGTAGCCCGTTTTTCACTTAATATATTGGAATATATTCCAGGCCTCAGCAGCTTGCTGCTACTACCCTCCAGTGTGTTCCCCTGGCAGCGTGGACCTATTTTGTGTTCCCTCACCACGATTGGGTAAAACCATTTTTTAAAAATCTAAGTTTTATTTAACTTGCATTTTCCTACTACTACGAGTGAGTGTGAACATTTGTCGAATGCGTATTGGCCCTTCTACAGATTTCCTTGATAACCAGCCACCTTGCTAGAACTCTGTGCTCCAGGGGTGTTTTGGTCATTTATTCCATATTTCTCAACATTTATCAACATAACATCATATACAGTCGGTACCACATTAGCCCTGCTAATTGGGCCTAATGGCAGGCATTATCCCCCAAACCTGAGCACACCTGTCACCCATTTGAAAGTACAGTAGTTGGAAAGTTCTGAGTTTGTTTGGTGAACATGGGCCATGTGCCCTGTGTCCCGGCATTGCTCTAGATGTCCAGCCTTGACCCAAGACAGAATCTCAGCTCTTTAAGATCTTACGGGTCTTAAATTTTTCATTTCTCTTGGGTTTTTCACATAGACCGATATTTATAAAAGACAATTTTTACTTCTAGAATGTGTAATTTATTTTTAGCTTGTATTACTGAGGTGAACTCCCCAGGTTCTAATCTCTTAAATTCAATTTAATTCTCTCAAGCTCTTTTAAACTCTAGACTCCTAGCAAAAGTCTAAAATGCACCTTATTTTGGTGATGAAAAAACTAAGTACTGGGACTCTGTGGTGGGAGTTTCTGTAGTGTCTGACCCAACACAAATCCCTTATCTGTCCTTTAACCAAACATCCGCTTCCTACCAACTTCTTCGTCCCCACAGATGGTGGAGAGGATTGAACGAGGTCTGGGAACCTGACCCAGGCCAGCCCAACCAGTGTTCCTGTCTTGGAAATTTGCAAATGGCCCCAAAAGAGAGGCATTTGAGGTTCACATGCTCATGGCCACAAGGTTAAAACACTCGGGAGTCAAAGGCAGTTATGTTCTGTTGTCTGGGGAGAGAGAATGGTGGTTTGTAGATGGAGAGAATAAAGCACATATCTGGAGAGACGCAGAAAGAGAGAAGAACGCTGCCTGAGTCCGATAGCTTTAAACCTTTTCTTCATTGCTTTCTGGGGTTGGCTGCATTCCTGTTTCTGAGTTCTGTGAAATACTCCTATACTCTCAATATCCCCTCTTCTTTCTCCTTTTGCAGAAGCCTAAGCCAGATGAGGTGGGTTACTATTCATGTCATCAAGGATCCTTCTCATTCTCAGCACTGTATTCATTTTATAATACTACCTTGTCTCTTACGTTTCTTCTGAGAAAGTTGTGAATTTTTCATTATTTTTTAACCATCTAACAATAACATGGGAAATTAAGGATTGCAGGAAACACAGAAGTAACACAATTTAATTCAGGTAATCATGATTTTATTGGAAAGGTCATTTTGCAAATGTGGACGCCACTTCTCACCTCTTTCAGTTCAGGGGCACCTGCGTGGCTCAGTCGGTTAAGCATGATCTCTCAGTTTGTGAGTTCGAGCCCTGCGTCGGGCTCTGTGCTGATAGCTCAGAGACTGGAGCCCAGTTCAGGTTCTGTGTCTCCCTCTCCCTCTACCCCTCCCTTGATCACACTGTGTCTCTCTCTCCCTCAAAATAAATAAACATTTAAAAAAAAATTAAAAAAAAAAAAAGCACACAAGAAAAACCAGTTCAGATCTTTAGCAGAGGGACAACAGGAAGGAAGAGATTTGGAATGTACTTCCAAATGTCCTAGAATTTCAGTGGTGTTATTTCCCTTCACATACAGATAGCATTTTGGCCTCATGCAAAAAATGATACTAGAGGTATTCACAATGGAAAGTATTGTTGTATGTTCATGTAGGGGCTGAGTTTGATACTTGTTCAGGTGTGTTCTGGTCAAACCACTGAAACAAGACTCTTGACTTTAATATCTAAATACCAAGAAAATGAATCACAGCTTGATTTACCTGGAAGTAGGCTTATCATAGATTAGCTTTCTGTCTCATGGTGATGTCATAAAAACTCAGTGCCAAGTTTAAGTAGTTCACTTTTCTAAGAAGTTGGGTGGGAAGGGAAAAAAGAAAAGTGATAGAAAGGGAAGAAAAGGGTTGTAGTAGAGAAGGAAGACAAAATCCAGTGCTACAGTTTTCCTTATTTATAACTGTATTTGCTGATCTTTTTTATTTGCATGTGGAAGAAGCACAAACTGTCTTAAGAAAAAAAGAAAATCTATTGACTCACACACCTGTCAAGTCCAAAGGTTCTGATTGGCTTGGCTTGATCACATGCCCTAAGCAGTCCTCATGGCCAAGTGAATGTGGAGCTCTCATTGGCTGTCCTGGGCTTTTGGGTCCATCAGTTGTTGAGACTGGTACCTAAACCCCTGGAATTAACCGAAGGAGGGAAAATGGGATCAACTGGGAGAAAAAGAGTGTTGGGCAGGAAAACACATGCCCAACCCTTTCATCATAAATGATGATCATATGGAAGGGGACTGGTGGTAACCCCTTTTTTTCTTAAATGACAGTCCCCCCTCCCTTTTTTTTTAAGTTTGTTTATTTTTGTTGAGAGAGAGAGGGAATGAGAATCCCAAGCAGGCTCTGTGCTGTCAGCCGAGAACCCGACGCTAACTAACTAACTTGACTAATCTCACTAACCATGAATGAGATCATGACTTGAGTCTGAATCAAGAGTTGGATGCTTAACCAACTGAGTCACTCAGGTGCCCCTTGGCTGCTTCTGTAATTGCAGATTTTCTCAGAGTTTTTCAGTGCCTAAGGTGTGTTGGCATTCTCTCAGGGCTCATACTTGGAGGCTTTTTAACTTATGCTCATCTGGAACTACTGGAAAAATATATAATGGAAAAGTTGGAGCTAGAAAGGGGTATCCTTTCTTCACCCATCTGCTTTTAAAATTTTTTTTATTAGACTTCAGGAAAGATAGCAACTTGACCTGTTTCAGAACGGGATGGGCCTATTTTTGAGATTTCTTGTTCTAAGAGACTGATTACAGTAGGTGGCAAGAGCTTATGATACCTTGAAAAATATGTTGCTCATATTTTTAAAATGCTATAGCGTGATTTATTTCACATGCTCTGATTACAATACTTGCATCCAGAAACTGTAGTTCCTGGGGTCCTTCTTCTTCTCTTTATGTCAAGTTCCTTTCCTCTTAGTTTTGTGACCTTCTGTACGCACCTGTGAACTCAGAGCGTGGCATTTCAGCTGTGTCCTGGCCCAGTGGTCCTTGCATCATCCCTATCCTGCAGACCTGCATTGCTAGACTGATGCAGCTGTGTCCCGTTTCCTGTGTTCGTGCTGGCAAAAGTCAGCTGAAGAGAAGCGTAGGAACTCGTGGACTTCCTTCTCCACTTAGCTGCGACCTGCAAAGTATTCTTTCTCAGCTTTCTCTCCATTCCTCACCACATTTGCCCTTTTCCTCAAGCTTCCCGGGAGGCATCCGAACCTTCACTTTCAGCAGTAATGCTGCCTCCTGTTTGGGCCTGCCGCCCACTTCCCAAGTAGCTTTTGTAAATCTGTCTTACTCACACTTGCTCTCTACTTCTTGCGATAAGAGGGAGAAGGAAGAGGTGGGTGTCTCCTTCCCTCCCCCCGGGTTCTAGATGCTGTTCTTTCCTGTTTCCTCTGAGACTTTGTGCCATTCTCTCATGCTTGCTCCCTTCAGCCTTGCCACAGCTAGATCCCGCTTGACTGTCGTGTGCCAGGTGCTGGGGTAGGAGCCTGGACTACCCCAGTAGTGACAGCTCCCTGTCCTCAATCTATTTATATTTTACTGGGACAGACAGAAATACAGAAAAAAAACCCCACCCCACATAGATAGCTGATTTCCAGCTGTTGTATGTGCCATGATGAAAGCGTTCAGGAGGACCTAATCTAGTTTTAGAGTCCGGGGAAGATGGGGCATGCACTTGAGGTGTGAGCTATGCACAGGAGTCAATCAGGGAAGGGAAGGAAGTTGTTTCCCAGGCTGAGGAACCCGCATGTGAGCATGGCTCGTACCATGAAGGAGCACCGCACATTTGAAAGGAAGGCCACCGTGGCTGCTATTAGGGAACTGGGGGAGGAGGTGAGACCAGTGTAGTTGCTATTAGGACACTGGGGGAGGAGGTGAGACCAGCCGGTGCGGGGCCTCATAGGCATGTAAAAACGGCTTGGTGTCAATCCAGAAGCTCCGATCTGAATTAGGCTTGTTCTCTGACTTGTGTGCATTCCTCTGGCTCCTCCGCCCCTTCCATCACCTCCTGCTCCGCTTCTTCCCATTGGTGCTGTACTCCCTCTGTCTCTTGGAGGAGTAGTTTTATGCTGGGTCTCTTTGCTCCTGTTACTTGTAGCGGGGTTCTGCCTCTGCCCCTCCATTGTTGATTCCCATACACAGATTTCCGTCCATTTGTTTCTTGACCTTTCTGTGACTTTCGACACATTTCTTCTTCTTCTACTTCGTCTTTTTTTTTTTCTTCTTAATTTTATTTAATCTCTACATCCAGTGTAAGGCTTGAACTCCCAAACCAGAGATCAAGAGTCGCGTGCTCTTCAGACTGAGCCAGCCAGGCGCCCCTCGGCCCATTTCTTCTTGAAAAACACTGTTCTACTTTGGCTTTCTCTGCCTTATACTCTGTGTTTTTCTTCTCCCTTACATCTAGGACTTCTTAGTCTCTTTTGAGGGCTCTTTACCTTGTATGTTGCTGTCTCTAGAGCTGTTACATCTACCCTCTTTTGACCCTCCACTGTCTTCCAGGACAGTCATCTCCCCTGTTGGAGTTTTAGCCACCATGAATAAATCCTGTTATCTGTGTATACCTGGAGTTCTGCCTCCTGAGTTCTTTTATTTTTTTTTTTTTATTTTTTTATTTTTTTTAACATTTATTTATTTTTGAGACAGAGAGAGACAGAGCATGAGCAGGGGAGGATCAGAGAGAGAGGGAGACACAGAATTCGAAACAGGCTCCAGGCTCTGAGCTGTCAGCCCAGAGCCCGATGCGGGGCTCGAACTCACAGACCGCGAGATCATGACCTGAGCCGAAGTCGGACGCCCAACTGACTGAGCCACCCAGGCGCCCCATGCCTCCTGAGTTCTAACCCTTTGCCTACAGCAATTATTTATTGAGTACCTACTAAACATCAATAACCATGTCAGATGCTCTGTGGTATAATAAAAAAAAAGTGTAGTTGGTCTTTCTCCTTGGTTCCAGACACAGAGCTCTGGAAACCTTTGGAATTTCCTGAGTGGTGGGAGTGTCTTTGTTATTCAAAATTAGCCTCTTTAGATTTTACCTGAGTTTATGCTAATGAAGTGACTTTTAGCCCCTTACCCCCCAACAAGGGAGAGGGACTGGAAATTGAGTTTAATCACGTGGGCAGTGATTTAATTAGTCATGTCTCATAAAGCCCCTTATAAATATGCCAGGATGGTGAGGTTTGGTGAACATTTAGATGTGTAGATGGGTAGGCACAATATTCCACAGAGGAGGAGAGGGCATGGATGCTCTTCAACTCCGCTCCGCCATACTTTGCCCTGAGTCTCTTCCATTTAGTTGTCCCAGAGTTGTATCCTTCATAATAAAACTAATCATAAGTGTGATGAAGTTTTGGGGTGATGGTGGGGTGGTCCAGAGCTGACGGCCAAGAAAGAATTCTTGAAGACGTCTTTGGTGCAAAAAGGTGATTTTATTAAAGCACGGGGACAGAACCCATGGACAGGAAGAGCTGCACTGGGGTCCTGATGGGTAGCTCATTATATATTCTCAGGATGGGAGCGGGTCAGGGATAGAGTAAGTCTCTAAGGTAGTTTGGAAACAAGGTTTCCAGCACCTTGAGGGGCTAGCTGTTGCTAGGGAAACACCATTTATTACCGTTTAATAAAACCTCAGTCATGAGACCCTTCAGATACATATCGGGGGGTGGGGCATAAGCTTGTGGAGTATGAGCGCCAGCACATATCTTGGAGTAATTGAGATAAGGGAAGTAGACTTACAGGATCCTCAGATCCTTGAGGTTGGGATAATGTTAAGCTAAGATTCTCTTTTGCCCCCTAGCAAAGTGTCATCATCTAGGCTGCTGAGCTCCTAGAGGGCGGTCACTCTGCCCTTGTCAAGGACTTGTCAGTGGGCTATAGGCAGTAAGGGAATTTAATTTTTCATTTGCCTTAGTTTCCCCACATCACCATGGCAAGCACTTAAACCCCTTCCCTTTGTTCTTGGGGAGCCAGGGATGTCTGAGGCATATCACACATACTCCACCCTGGAGGGAGGGGGCAGTGCTGTTAGTCTGTATTTTGCCCTCAGCTAGCTCCACACTCCCTCATCAGGTATAGTGTTTTCCTAAGATTGGTGAGTAGTTCTAACAAATTACTGAACCTGGGGGAGGGTGGCAGTTGTGGGAACCCCCAAATTTGTAGTCTTCCTGCAGAAGTGCTGGTACTTTAGGGGCTACTTAAGACTTGTGGCTGGTGTCTGAAACGGGACTGAGCCCTTTACCTGTGGGATCTGTACTAATTCCAGGTAGATAGAATCAGAATCGAATTTTAGGACACTCAGTTGAAATCAGAGAGCTGTTGTTAGAACTGATCACCTGGCTGTGGAGCATCTCAATCTCTCTGTATGGAATAGACTCAGTACCTGTCTATAAACCAGATAGGTGGACAGATGGTTGCAGTGTATCCATGCAAGCTGGCAGCCTGGACCTTTTCTCTCTGATTCTGAAGTTGGTTGCTACATTCTGTCAATTCTTCTGCCCCTGGAACATCTTTTGGTTTCATCTCTTTTTCTCTGTGTCCATCGCTGTTGTCTTAGCCCTGATTTCATCATTTTTCATGTTACCACTTGGCTGTTACTGACTGGTCGGGCTTCTAGTTATTGGGGACCTCACGGAGCTTTATGTGGGTTGTGTTTTTAAATGTATCACTGTTTGCCAGGTTAGAAATTAAAATTGAGAAATGTACAAAGTATTTTATTAGTGTATTGAAAATACCTGTAATAAACCCACCGCGTGCTTACATAAATAACAGATTTTTTATGAAAACTGTTTTACAAAAGAAAAAAATAATTTAGTGAGAAGAGAGCATCGTTTTACATTTTTGCAAACCTCTTTTAAAGTCTGGCTTAATAGAAGACAGCTGGCTTTTCATATCTGCTCCTGCAGTCAGTTGGTTGCGAAATGTTGTTTTGGTTGAAGTAGTTGAAAGAAATCTGGCCTTACACAGATATGTAGTTGGAAAAGCCAGGAGCCTTTTGATGGCATTTTCAGAAAATTGTGGTTATTCTTTGATACCATACCAAAATTTGACACTGCTAGTTTCTTAAGGTTAGTGGCAATGCGGAATCTGAAATTATGTTAGTGAACTTTTCATACTCCGTTACAAAAACATCTATAGTCCATCCTGCTGTTTGGATGACATTTTACACCTTTGTGATTTTGTAACATCATGTGTTGGTCATTCGGAAAATATTAATTCACTGATTTATGTAGATCTTGCAAATGTTGATATGTTTCATTGAATAATACTACTTTAA